GTGTTGGTCTCAAACATTGCAATTAGACCATGTTAGGTGATTATAAGCTGAGTAAGACTGTTAGTATAAATAGGACATGAGTTCTTAGCTATAGAATTGTATTCACAGTGTAGCCAATACAGTATATACAGCATACTGTAGTTCCGTAAAGCCAAAAGGAAATCGGTCTCCCTTTGACCCTGCTCCTGGGAAGCAACCAGGAATTGGAATTTCCTATTCACAATGGGACCCTGATAGAGTTTGGATATTGTGCCCTCTAAATCTCATGTTCAATTGTAATCCTCCATGTTGGAGGTAGAGCCTGGTGGGAGGTGTTTGAGTCATGGAGGGGAAAACCTCATAGCTTGGCGATGTGCACACAATAGTGAGCTCTCACAAAGTCTAGTTGATTAAAAGTATGTGGCACCTCCCTGCCCCACTCTCTCTCTGTCTTGCTCCTGCTCTTGCCATGTCACATGCCTCCTCTTGCTTTACCTTCCACCATGTGTAAAATTCCCTGAAGCCTCCTCTCCACAAGTTGAGCAGATGCCTGCACCATGCTTCCAATACAGTCTGCAGAACCATAAGCCAATTAAACTTCTTTTTTAAAATAAATTATCCAGTCTCAGGTATTTCTTTATAACAATACAATAACACCGTAACACAGCCTCTGACACCAAAACTGATAGTTTATGATAACAAGACAATGCAGGGTGGAGCTGGCCACACTTGATAGCCGAGGTGTGTTTAGAGGGTGGGGGCTTTGGATAATCTGAATACCAATTCACCTAGAGACTGAGTAAAAACCTCATAGGCAATACTCCATGCACATTGTTAAACATCCACCCATCCATATTGTTACACATATATGCATAGGGTTGCACATCCTTAGAAAGCTAACAAGTCATGAGGAAAAGTTTCACATTTTAAGTGCTCCAAGACTTGGCCTTATTACATAAGTATAGTGTGGGGGTGATATGGTTTGGCCGTGTCCCCACCCAAATCCCACCTTGCATTGTAACTCCTACAACTCCCACATGTTGTGTGAGGAACCTGGTGGGAGGTGACTGAATTACAGGGGCGAATCTTTCCTGCACTGTTCTTGTGGTAGTGAATGAGTCTCACAAGACCCAATGGTTTTAAAACTGGGAGTTTCCCTGCGCAAGTTCTCTTTGCACGCTGCTATCCGTGTAAGACATGACTTACTCCTCCTGACCTTCCGCTGCCATGATTGTGAGGCTTCCCCAGCAATGTGGAACTATATATCTATTAAACTTTTTTTCTGTATAAATTGCCCAGTCTCAGGTACGTCTTTATCAGCAGCATGAAAACAAACTAATACATTAAACTGGTACTCACAGAGTGGGGTGCTGCTGAAAAGACACCTGAAAATGTGAAAGCCACTTTGAAACTGGGTAACAGGCAGAGGTTGGAACAGTTTGGAGGGCTCAGAAGTCGAAAGGAAAATGTGGGAAAGTTTGTTATTTCCTAGAGACTTGTTGAATGGCTTTGATGAAAATGCTGACAGTGATATGAACAATAAGATCCAGGCTGAGGTGGTCTCAGATGAAGATGAGTAACTTGTTAGGAACTGGTGACTCTTGTTATGTTTTAGCAAAGAGACTACAGCATTTTGTCCCTGCCCTAAAGATTAGTGAAACTTTGAACTTGAGAGAGATGATTTAGGATATCTGGTGGAAGTAACGCATCTAACAGGTGACTTGTGTGCTAATAAAGACATTCAGTTTTATAAGGGACAGAGATCACAGAAGTTCAAAAAATTTGCAGCCTGATAATGCGATAGAAAAGAAAATCCCATTTTCTGAGGAGGAATTCAAGCCGGCTGCAAAAATTTGCGTAAGAGGAGCCTAATGTCAATCCCCAACACATTGGGGAAAATGTCTCCAGGGCATGTTAGGGGCCTTCATGGCAGCTCCTCCCATTACAGGCCCAGAGGCCTAGACGGAAAAAGTGGTTTTGTGGATTAGGCCCACAATCCCTGTGCTGTGTACAGCCTAGGGACTTGGTGCCCTGCATCCCAGCCACTCCAGCCATGGCTGAAAGTGACCCATAGAGAGCTTGGCCCGTGGCTTCAAAGGGTGTAAGCTTCAAGCCTTGCCAGCTTCCACATGGTGCTAAGCCTGCTAGTGCACAAAAGTCAAGAATTGGGGTTTGGGAGCCTCCACCTAGATTTCAGTCGATGTATGGAAATGCCTGGATGCCCAGTAAGAAGCTTGCGGCTCATGAAGAACCTTTGCTAGGGCAGTGCAGAAGGATAATATGAGGTCAAAGCCCCACACAAAGTCCCTACTGGGGTACCACCTAGCGGAGTTGTGAGAAGAGGACCACCATCTTCCTGATCCCAGAATGGTAGATCCACCAAAAGCTTGTACCACACGCCTAGAAAAGGCACCAGCAGACACTAAATGTCAACCTGTGGAAACAGCTGAGAGGAGGGCTGTACCCTGCAAAGACACAGCGGCGGAGCTGCCCTAACACCATGGAACCCACCTCTTACATCAGTGTGACATGTATGTGAGACATGGAGTCAAAGGAGATCGTTTTTGGAGTTTTAAGATTTGACTGCCCTGCTGGATTTTGGACTTGCATGAGGCCTGTGGCCCCTTTTGTTTTGTCCAACTTCTCCCATATGGAATGGCTGTATTTACCCAATGCCTTGTACTCCCATTGTATCTAGGAAGTAACTAAACTCATAAGCAGAAGAGACTTGTCTCAGATGGGATTTTGGACTGTAGACTTAAGAGTTAATGTTGAAATGAGTTAAAACTCTGGGGACAATTAGGAAGGCATGATTGGTTTAGAAATATGAAGGCATAAGATTTGAGGGGCCAGGGCAGAATGATATGATTTGGCTGTGTCCCCACCAAAATTTCATCTTGAATTGTAACTCCCACAATTCCCACATGCTGTGGGAGGCAGATGGTGGAGGTGACTGAATTATAGGGCTGGATCTTTCCTATGCTGTTTTTGTGGTACTGAATGAGTCTCACAAGATCTGCTGGTTTTAAAAACGCAAGTTTCCCTGCACAAGCTCTCTCTTTGCCTGCTGCCATCCACATAAGATGTGACTTGTTCCTCCTTGCCTTCTGCCATGCCATGATTGTGTCTTTATCAGCAGCATGAAAACAGATTCATACAGGGAGGAATAAAAAGACTCTGCCTTAGGCATCTGTTCCTATGGCTGGTTCTAATTTGTATAATGTGACTATAATAGATGTATAATGTGACTATAATAGATTTCATATAAATATGAAATATTTATATATAATTTAGATATATTTCTATAATAGACTTTAATATGTTTCAATGGGTTCTGTGAGTCTTTCTAGTGAATTATTGAACCTGAGAATAGTTTTCAGAAACTTCCAAAGTTGTAGTTGGTGTACAAAGTATTTTATTCTTCCAACTTTTGCTTTAGATTCAGGGGATACATGTGCAGGTTTGTTATACGGGTAAACTGCACTGGGATTTGGTGTACAAATAATTTCACAACCCAAGTAGTGAGCATAGTATCTGTTAAATAGTTTTTCAATCCTCACCCCCCTTCGACCCTCCACCCTCAAGTAAGACCCCATGTCTACTGTTTCCCTCTTTGTGTCCATGTGCATTCAATGTGTAGCTCCCACTTATAAGTAAGAATATGCAGTACTTGGTTTTCTTTTCCTGCATTAATTCACTTGGGATAATGGCCTCCAGCTGTATCCATGCTGCAGGACAAAACATGATTGCATTCTTTTTATGGCTGCATAGTATCCTGTGGTGTATATGTACCAATTTCTTTATTCATTGCACCATGGATGGGCATCTAGGTTGATTCCATGTCTTTGCTATTATGAATGTGCTACCATGAACACACAAGTGCACGTGTCTTTGATAGAAAGATTTATATTCCTCTGGGTAGATATATCCAGTAATGGGATTGCTGGGTCAACTGGTATTTCTTTTTTAAATTCTTTGAGAAAACTCCAAACTGCTTTTTATAGTGGCTGAACAAATTTACATTCCCACCAAAAGTGTATAAGCATTCCCTTTTCTCTACAACCTCAACAACTGTTATTTTTTAACTTTTTAATAATAGCCATTCTGACTGGTGTGAGATGGTATCTCACTGTGGTTTTGATTTGCATTTCTCTGTTGATTAATGATGTGGAACACTGTTTCATATGCTTGTTTGCTGCACATATATCTTCTTTTGAGAAGTGTGTGTTCATGTCCTTTGTCCACTTTTTAATGGTGTTTGGTTTTTGTTTGTTGATTTAAGTTCCTTATAGGTTCTGGATATTAGACTTTTGTCAGATGAATAATTTGTAAATATTTTCTCCCATTTGGTAGGATATCTGTTGACTCTGTTGATAGTTTATTTTGCCATACAGAAGCCCTTTAATGAAGTCTCACTTGCCAATTTTTGTTTTTGTTTCAATTACTTTTGGAGTCTTCCTCATGAGATCTGTGGAGGCCAATGTCTAGAATTCTATTTCCTTAGTTGTCTTCTAGAGTTTCTACAGTTTTGGACTTTACATTTAAGTATTTCATTTCATCTTGAGTTAATTTTTTGTGTGTGGTGAAAGGATAGGGTCTAATTTCAATCTTCTGCATATGGCCAGCCAGTTATCCCAGCAACATTATTAAACAGGGAACCATTTCCCCACTGTTTATTTTTGTTGACTTTGTCGAAGATCAGATGGTTGTAGGTGTGCAGCTTTATTTCTAGGTTTTCTAATCTGTTCCATTGGTCTATGCATCTGTTTTTGTACCATTACCATTCTGTTTTGTGTCAGAAGCATTTAGGCAAACTTAAGGACTGTGGCTATAATGTTAGTTTGGCTAACTCTGAGTAACCATATTATCAAAAATTAATAAACTGATATTTTCTATGCCATCTAATATGGCCATTTCATAAAACTTGTAAAGACTTTATAAATAAAATGTTAGCATTTTTTATTTGAGTTGCTTAAATGAGATACTGTGTTTATAAGATTTAATTGGAATAAAAAACATACCTGGTAGATATTGAAATCTGCAAGTCTAACCACAACAGAACTAGACATTAGCTTGGCTTTTGATTGTTGAGATAATACTGAAGGTGTTCTGCATGTCCCTTTCAGAGTGTAGTCCTTCTCTGTTGGAAACAAAAACACCTTTCAATTTGTTGCAAAATTATTTTTAACAGTCACCCTTCCATTATTAAGGCAGGTACTAGAAATATATGTGAATAATAACTTCTCAAACAAGATAATATTTGTGAACATACTTTATAAATTATAAAGTGATACAGGATGTAAGTTATTGTGGTGATTATTCTTTTAAAAAGAATCAAATATATCACATTTAAGTTACTCTTCTATAAAACTTGGAATGGCATTCTTGTTAAAAATGAGATATTTACATAGAATTAGAAAAGGATGAATATGGGGGAGGATGGGGAGGGGCAGACAAAGGGTAATTAGTGAATACAAAGGTATAGCTAGATAGGATAATGAATTTCTAGCTTTTATAGGGTGACTTAATTAATAATAATTTATTTTTTCAAATAGCTAATAAGAGCAGATTTTTAATGTTCCCAACATAAATGATAAATGTCTGAGGTGATGAATATGCTAATTATTCTGCTTTTATCATTCTACATTTGTATACATGTATCAAAATATCATACTTCAATCCTTACGAGGCCAGCAAAAAAAAAAAAAAGTATCATACTATACCTCATAAATATGTACAATTATTATGTGTTGACTAAAAAGAAAAACTAAGAGATTTCTAGCTACTTAAGAGTTTGAAAAATTCTACCTGGGTGTGACTATTATTGGCTTTTAAGTTTAAAAGTACTTTGGTCCACAAGTCTATGTTGGTCTGAATGAAGAATGCAGGGGTTGTAGCCATTAATTAAAAATACCTGGCTAGGCGTGGCTGATACCTGTAATCCCAGCACTCTGGGGACGGCTAAGGTGGGAAAATTGCTTGAAGCCAGGTGTTTGAGACTACCCTACGCAACATAGTGATACCCCCATCTCCACATTAAAAACAAACCAAAAATACTAATTCACAGGAAATATGATCACACACACAGACACACACATACAAGCAGAAATACCCTTAAGATTAGGGGAATGCCATAATGTTATTGTAGATAAAATACCTGTTTGTGTGTGCTGGGGAGAGGCATGAGTTGGGGATTTAGGAGGTGAACCTACATTATGATCCTTCACAGCCTGTTTAAGCATTTCAACGTTGCACTCAAATTCATGCAATAACTCGTTGGCCCATCCATTTTTGGTTTTGGTTGCATCACTAAAATACATCCAATGATTACAACTATCTCCTGTAAAATGAATAACAGGTACTTCATTGAAAAATGTACAACTTTCAATTATTATAGTAATGCTTCCAATGAGATTTAGTCATTTATTTAAGAAAGGCATTTATATCCGAAAATTTACAGGCTTTACCTACTACATGTTATTCTGAAACATGAGTAAAACATTTGAAATAGAGAGAAAGAATGTCAAAAGCAAATCATCTGGAGGAGTTTCTATCTAGTTCACATTCTTAGCAGAAAATCACTCAGGTTCAATTTAAAGCCATTTGACTGGTCACCCTTCATTGGATGCTCAATTACTGGTGAACAAGACAAACAGATTCTGCCTTCACAGTGCTTCCATTAAACTTAATCCCAGAAAATGTTAGGAAAGAAATAAAATCCTTTCATCAAAGATTTGGTATAAAGTAACTAACAAAAACCTAAATCACAAAAATGATAAGATGATGATGATTATTAAAACATTTAAGAAACCAATAAAACTTCTCAAGATGTACCCAGCCAAAGTTTCTGAAAGAAAAATATAAAATCAGGATTATTAGTTTTCTCTGTAGCAACTAAGAAAAGTAATACGCACATAAAAGGGTTAAAACAATAAAATCAGGCTGGGCACAGTGGCTCACACCTATAATCCCAGCACTATGGGAGGCTGAGGCAAGGTCAAGGCTGTAGTGAGCAGTGATCACGCCACTGTACTGATGAGGCCTTATTTCAAAAAAAAAGAAAAACTACTCTATGAAAGTTTTACCTCCCAAAAAAATAAATAATTTTTATTTTAAAATTTTATGCATTTGTAAGTTAATTTATGAGTCAGGAGGATAATACATAAGACAAAATGCTTTAAAAGAAAATCATTATATTGAATATCGGCAATAAAAATTTAAAATGAAAAAGAAAAAAACAAAGCAAATCGTACAACCTTTAAATTTAATCAGGTACCAACGCAGAAATGACAAACATTGGTAGAAAATGTTAAACAGAAATGTATGAACAGAAAAACTTTACCGTTTTTTAAATGTCCTGAAAACTCTATGATCTCTAGTTTGGTTTTTCTCACTTGTGTTAATGCCAAATACCACCAAAAAGCAAAAATGGGCATAAGGTCAAATTACTTAATTTGGCCACAATAATCATACTTTTTTCTTTTCATTATTTGGGAGAAACAATCTACCAATACTAGATTATTAAAAGTCTATGAAATCTGGAATCCTATAATTTAGCTAAACCTACTCTTATTCTTAGCTTCATATACTTTTCTATTTTTTAAATATGTAAATCATTTAAAAATTTAAAACATTTATTAATAACCTGTTTTTGTCACAACTAATAATACAAACACATCTCCTCTGTACACTGATTTTTTCTTTAAGTTTTAAATTGGTTATTTGGAAAACTGTCAATTTCCAAAAATTATGGTTTCTAATAATTTACATAAATCTCAATATAAACTGTATGACTAAATTCCATGGCAATTCCACTTTCTTAGTAAAATACTGCCAGGAGAAAAATACTGATCTCTTCATCTCATTTCATGTTAACAAAATAAAACTAAACAAATTAGCTATATAATTTTAAAACAACATTTATATCTTTTAAAGAAGCTGTTATACACACCTGCTTTATGATAAGGATAATAATCTATAGTTAGCTGCGTAAAAGAAAGTTGCATTGCCCCCCCAGTAATACGTCTGTTTGACTCTGGGAAAAGAAAGAGAAAAAAATATTAAGGGAATTATCAGAAACATTTAATTTACCACAAAAGATTTTTACCATACTTGGAATCCAAGTGGTAATAACTATCTCTCTTTTATAAAGCACATTAAGGATTTTAGGAAATATAATACAATCCATTAAGTATTTACTGAGCCCTCCTCATTTGCAAGGCATTAGGATAAAAGGTAAGAATACAATAATAGGCCGGGTACGGTGGCTCAAGACTATAATCCCAGCACTTTGGGAGGCCAAGGCGGGTGGATCATGAGGTCAAGAGATCGAGACCATCCTGGTCAACATGGTGAAACCCCATCTCTACTAAAAATACAAAAAATTAGCTGGGCATGGTGGCGCTTGCCTGTAATCCCAGCTACTCAGGAGGCTGAGGTGGGAGAATTGCTTGAACCCAGGAGGCGGAGGTTGCAGTGAGCCGAGATCACGCCATTGCACTCCAACCTGGGTAACAAGAGCGAAACTCCGTCTCAAAAAAAAAAATACAAGAATAGCCAGGCACGGTGGCTCAAGCCTGTAATCCCAGCACTTTGGGAGGCCGAGGCGGGTGGATCACGAGGTCAAGAGATCGAGACCATCCTGGTAAACATGGTGAAACCCCGTCTCTACTAAAAATACAAAAAATTAGCTGGGCATGGTGGCGCGTGCCTGTAGTCCCAGCTACTCAGGAGGCTGAGGCAGGAGAATTGCCTGAACCCAGGAGGCGGAGGTTGCGGTGAGCCAAGATCGCGCCACTGCACTCCAGCCTGGGTAACAAGAGCGAAACTCTGTCTCAAAAAAAAAAAAAAAAAAAAAAAAAGAATACAAGAATAGTAGAATCCCTGCCCTGGTAGAGTTTACAGATGATAATAGCAGAACTTTTATATTTACAAGGCCTCTCCATATGTCAGGCATTATTTTAAATACTTTAGGTATACTTATTCATTTGATTTTCATAACAACCCCATTTGATAGGTACAATCATTATTATCCTCATCTTCAAGATAGGAAACTGAGGCCCAAAGAGGCCAAGGACACACAGCTAGTTAAGTGAAAAGTTTGGATTTGAACCCAGAAAATCTTAACCACCACATCATATCATCCTACCTCTTACTGAAAGGAAATTAAAAGTCTGTTAGGTTAGGCAAGTTGTTGGAAGTCACACAGCTATAGTAAGATCAAAAGTAGATTGCAAATTGGTGTAACATGAGCATAAAAATCAAATTTTAAAACAAAATGGGCAAATCAATCAGAAGTAAGAAAAATACAAACTGAGACATAGCTATGTACACACTCTCTATATTAATTTGTAAAATCTAATTTATCTCAACTAGAATTTCCAGTACAGGTCTACAATCCCTTACGTAAAACCTTTGAAAAGCCAAATGTTTCAGAATTCAGAAATGTTTAGATTTTGTGACAGTAATATGGTACATACAAGATATACCATGCAATGGTCCCGGCAGGTTCTGAGGCAGCAATAATAAAAATAGCAATTCTGCAGCAAAACATAAACAATGTGTTGGTATAAGTTAGGTTTTGCCACCAAATGCTTTTTTCACAAACTTATAAAATAACATTTCAGAGCCTTTTGGATTTCAGAAAAGTAGTGATTACAGACTGCACTATTAAGGAGATACTTTGGTGGAAAGGTTTACCTCCTAAATATTCAACTTATTCTGAGGGAATAGTAAGGAATGTAAGGCCTTAGAAAATACTTTCTCCATTCTTGTTACTTAATCTTGACCACCTCATTTTCTTAGTTTGGTTTGTTCTAACTTTTTTGGATTTCCCTTTCTTTTTTTTTTTTAATTTTGAGACAGAGTTTCGCTGTTGCTACCCAGGCTGGAGTGCAATGGCGTGATCCTGGCTCACCGCAACCTCTGCCTCCTGGGTTCAAGCAATTCTCCCACCTCAGCCTCCCGAGTAGCTGCGACTACAGGCACGTACCACCATGCCCAGCTAATTTTTGTATTTTTAGTAGAGACGGGGTTTCACCATGTTGACCAGGATGGTCTCGATCTCTTGACCTCATGATCCACCCGCCTTGGACTCCCAAAGTGCTGGGATTATAGGCGTGAGCCACCGCACCCAGCGGATTTCCCTTTCAAATCTCAAAAGTAAAAGATATCACTGTAGGTCAAATGACACAAATGGTATAATGTGAACATAAAAATCACATTTTAAAGATAACAAATCCCTCCCCAAACCCCAAATGTTCCTCATATTTACCCCTCCAACTTTTTAGGTAGCTGCCTTGTCTAATGCAGGCAGGGTAACTTTTACTGCTAAGTATCCACAGTCTCAATATTCACTTTCCCAGCTTAAAAACACAGGGCAAAAATTTTCATAGATATAGATCCTGTTTCAGATCTGAGGCACAGACATCAGATAACTCTATTGTTTAAAGGTTGTCAGCTTGATTCTAATGCTCACTAAAGTTGGAGAATTATAGTCCTTAAGGCAGGCCTACCTGCTGAACTCACCCCCAATATTTCTGGGCCAGGGATATTCTCCAGCAAAGAAACAAAAAAAATGCCCAGCACCTAGATTACAGAACTACATATTTACAGAATGGCCAAGGGCAGCTTCCTGGTTACCCTGTCATGTTTACTAAACAAGGAAAAATAAGATGGACAAAAACTAAAAGAAAACAAACTGGAATTTTGCTTCCTAATCAAATTTTGGAAGGATGGGAGGAGAGGTAGTCATAAAATATGTTAAAGAGTTACACAGTTGTATTTCTACTCAAAATAGGCAGATAAACTACAATGCTGAAAACATAACTACAAATAATTATGAATTAAGTATGGATTAAAATGTAATTTGCAGACAACTTCAAAATTATGAAAAAGTTAATTCAAAGGCAAGTCTAATATTTCATCATCCTCCAAGAGTGTCATCTATTCAGTGTTTGATTTTTTAAAGCTAACTTTATTGTTAATATTGATAGTTAACAACTAATTAACCCTAAGTACTAACTGCCAAAGCAAAATAAAATTTCATACCAATGTATGCTTCCAATTGTGCCTTTCATCTATACATTCATATGAACACAATTATGACAAATGAGCTTACAGGACATCCTACACAAGACATTTAATAAACAACCTACTTTTGTAGTCAATTCTAGAAAAACCAAAATAGTTCAAAATGAGCAAATTATTTTACCTTTTTCTTTAGCATGAATGTCATCACATATATGCAGATCTAGATGAGAAATCACTAAATGATGGGAGGTTTCCTTAACATCAAAGTCATTGAATAGTTTCACAATTGCATCATTTACATCAGGAGCATTTGAAGTTTGTGTTGTCTTCACTTGCTGGGCAGATGCAACTACTGTAGAGCTCTAAAAAGATTCAAAACTCCCTTATCACTGCCAATTTAAATACTGGACATTTCACACACAAAAAAAATCTAAATATTTTCAATTAAAAAGTCATGAAAAATAACCATCATACATTTTATTTTTCATCAATAACTCAGCTTCCCTAAAATATTTTCTGAATTACCTAAGAATAAAACTAAAGCTTAAAAACTGTAAAACTATACACAAATCAAATATGAACCCCAATATGTCTCAGTAAATATCTGAAGTTATATTTAACGTATTTGTAGCATAACATATTATATTTAACTTGTTTTAGAAAATGTAGTTAACTCTTAAAGGCAGTTTATTTGAATACTATTAGTTCTATATATTAAAAAGAAAACAAATGTGAGCCCTGTATACACTGTTATGTATCTTATATGGTTTGGCTCTGTGTCCCCATCTAAATCTCACCTTGAATGTATTCTCATAATTTCCATTTGTTGTGGGAGGGAGCCAGTGGGAGATAATTGATTCATAGGGGCGGTTTCTCCCCTACTGTTCTCATGGTAGTGAATAAGCGTCACGAGATCTGATGGTTTTATCAGGGGTTTCTGGTTTTCCATATTCCTCATTCTCTCTTTGCCTGCTGCCATCCATGTAAGAAGGGACTTGCTCCTCCTCAGTTTCCGCCATAATTACGAGGCTTCCCCAGCCACATGGAACTGTAAGTCCAATTAAAACTCTTCCTTTTGTAAACTGCCCAGTCTCAGGTATGTCTTTAACAGCAGCATTAAAAAGGACTAACACAATATCCTACAGAAATAAACCATATCTTTGTAAATGCCCCTGTGATATTATTTCATACTCTAAGTGTGCTGGTGCCTCTCCTAAAAGATATGGTGTGTCCTTTGAACTTGAATAACTAAACAACCCAGAAAGGAGACTGGATTTATAAAGTGGTTGTGAGTTCAAATATTTTTCTGAAGCCCCCTGTGATATTATTTAGCATTCTAAGTGCTCTGGTGCCTCTCCTAAAAGATGTGATGTGTCCTTTGAACTTGAATAACTAAAGAAGCCAGAAAGAAAACAGGATTTATAAATAGGTTGTGAGTTCAAATATTTTTTTCCCTAAAGACAAATAGTATAGAACACTTTTGACATATAAAAATATATATGAACCTCTAACAGCCTAAAATGATTCTGTATACACAACTATAATGTAAGATTTTCTGACATATCAGCCACAAAACTGTAGATGAATTTTTATAATAATTATGATAAACACCAAATTTCCACTTTAAAAATTAACAATGCTCAAATTCATGTTATAATAAAAGATGGTTAATTAAAGAAAATCAAAGTATATATATATTGTATGTATATATATTTACATACATCTATGAAGAACTATGATCATACTGTAAAAGAATTGCAAAGTATAATTAGTAAATGAAAATTTCTTCATGAAAATGATTGCAGACCACAGTAAGTTAAAAAACACAAAGATGAAATATAGCTATAGAATGTTAAATACTAGATACTCTAGAAAACTTTTTTTTCATTGTTAAACTGATGTCAAACAATTTTTCTCCTATTTTTCCCATCTATTTTCAAAGCTATAACAAGGTATTTATGCCTATGATGGTGCTATTTAAAAATATTCTCCAGTACTTCTTTTTTGTTTTCTCTCTTCTTTATTAAGATAAATACTGATAAAAATATAAACATTAATCTCCCTACAAACCTTTTTCTTAATACTATGGTAAAGTCAGGTTTTTGGATGCTATTTCTGGAAGAAAAAAAATGGGCCATTGTATGCCTCATTAATAATCTTTTTTCTTTTTGAGATGGAGTCTTGCTCTGTCACCCAGGATGGAGTGCCTCAGCTCACTGCAACCTACATTTACCAGGTTTAAGCGATTATCCTGCCTCAGCTTCCCAGGTAGTTGGGATTACAGGCTCCCACCACCATGCCTGGCTATTTTTTGTATTTGTAGTAGAGACAAGGTTTCACCATGCTGGCCAGGCTGGTCCTGAACTTCTGACCTCAAGAGATCCACCCACCTCAGCCTCCTAAAGTGCTGGGATTACACTGCACCTGGCCCCTCTGAATAATGTTAACACCTCTTAATTTTCAAGATAGTCTTCTTTCTCTTTTAGAGAAGAGTAAGATGAAGCTAAGCAAATACTTGTAATAGAAAACAATGGCCTAGTTGTAAAGTTGAGTAAAGAAACACTGTTAACTAATTCACTTTCTGACATGCTCTCTCAGGACCTGAAATAATCAGATTAAGACATTCTGTGTGATTATCTAAAGTAGTGACATGATAACTACTATCCAAGAAAGCAATTCTATCCTAATGGTTAAATAAATCTGCTGTGACATATTATGGAGCAACAAAACGTAATAGTTACAAAGACTAGAGACATGGAAGAAACTTGCATATGCCCACTAACTACAACTAGGAAAACGTGCATATGCTGGGGCAAAAACCACCCTCAAAATGGTAGCACAGGTTTTATTAGCATGGTGAGATTACAGAATTTTGTCCTTGTTTCTAGTTTCCTAATAGATACGTATCTAATTTTCTAATCCATAGTCCATTTTTATATAAATATATCCACATTATAAGAGCTATACAGTAATATCAACCTTCAATCTATTAGTCTTTAACTATGACCACCGTCTCTGTTAATCACAACCTAAACTACCAAAAATCTTTGTTGCAAGCCTTAACAAAATAATATTCATGTCTATGATGGTAGTATTGTAAACTACTCTCCTCTACTTTTTTCCTTATACTTTTTCAGCTCCAAAATGGGTTTTCTTACCTTTATCTCCCTTAGTTAAATCTACTTCCTTCTTCTGCCTTCCCTTATTGGCTAATGACACTACCAACTGTCATTTTAAAGTCCTCAACTTTTCTCTCTTCCTTATCCTCAACTTACTTAAAAAATTCCACTGGCTCCCAGATGCCCACAGGAAAATGTCCAGATTCTTCCATGTATTATACAACACATTTCACATACAGTCACTGCAAACTATTGTTTCAACTCAGGCTACCAGTCGAGGAAAACTATTCTATGCTAGAGCCCAGTGGTCTGTTTGCCAAATGGTTAAAATCAGAATCCCCCAGAGAATTCTGCAGATGCTCCATTGGATAAATAATTTATTGGTAGAATAATACAAAATTCACTTTCAATTCTGTATGTTTGTTTTTATGGCTATAAGCTCTAGAAAACCTTGTTCACATAAATAGGTAGACTGAAAAGAAAGCAGTTTTGTTTTAGCCATATAACTTGATCCTTTCAATGCCTTCAGGTTACCTTCACTAAGTGATCTACTATAAAAAATTATTTAAATAATTTCTAATGCTGACAATTATTTGATCATCCTTCGCACGCATTAAAAACAAAGAACTAATAATCACCTGACTTGTTCTTTTGTCATTAGAGCCATTAACTTGCAACATGAATAGCAATATTTCAAAATGCCACTCTATCTTGTTCCCAGAGGGGTTTTCACCCTCTCCCTGTTCAAATCCATCCTAGTAAGATTGAGGATGAGTAATAATGCCTTTCATTTATAAAGTAGGATTAGAGTCATTATGGAAAGGGAAAGCCAGTCTGACATCTTAATGCAAGCATATTCTCTGGTAGATCAAGTTTAAGAAAGAATACACATCAAAGTGGAATATGTGGAACTCAATTTCTTTAAAATAAAACTTGGAAAATGTTATATCCTGAGGCATTTGAACCTCACTCCTGAAAACATTAGTAACACGAAATTTCTTATCTTTATCAGAAAATAACATGTTCTTTAAAAAATACTATACTTGTGCAGATTCTATTATCTCTTCTGAAATGCCTTTCCCCCATGTCTGCCTGTGAATTGTTACTAATTTCTAAGACTTAATTTCATTATCCTCTTTGTGAAACCTTTCTAAACCCTGCAAGCAATTAATTGAAATCTCTGTTTCTGTAGTCCCTAAATGTAATTCTTTCCCTTACTTCTTCATGCTAACATTTACATTAAACTACAATGATTTGGGGATTTTTCTTTTTCTTTTCTTTCTTTTTTTTTTTTGAGACAGGATCTCACTGTTACACAGGCTGAAGTGCAGTGGTACAATGGCTTGACTTCCTGGGCTCAAACAATCCTCCTGCCTCGGTCTCCCAAGTAGCTAGGATGACAGGTATATACCACCACACTCGGGTGATTTTTAAATTTTTTGTAGAGATGGGTCTCAGTACATTGTTCAGGCTGGTCTTAAACTACTGGCCTCAACCAATCCTCCTGCCTAAGCTGCCCAAGGTGCTGGGATTACAGACATGAGCCCCTGTCCCCCACCTGCAAAGATTTGTTTCAGATTTGACTCACCATTACACTCTGAGGTCCTTGAGGCCAAGGTCAGATGGTATTAATTTTCACATCACAGTGTCTACTCCTGCACCTTAGGACATAGTAGGCAAGCAATAAAAAATGCCAATGTGATATTCACTGAAAGCCTAGGCTGGGCATGGTGGCTCACACCTGTAATCCCAGCATTTTGGGAGGCCGAGGAGGGCAGTCGCTTGAGGCCAGGAGTTTGGGACCAGCCTGGCTAACACAGTGAAACCCTGTCTCTACTAAAATTACAAAAAAAATTACGGGGGCAAGGTGATGCTTGCCTATAGTCCCAGCTGCGTGAGAGGCTGAGGTATGAAAATCACTTGAACCTGGAAGGCGGAAGTTGCAGTGAGCCGAGATTGCACCACTGCACTCCAGCCTGGGTGACAGAGACTCTGTCTCAAAAAATAAAGCAACCCTAATTGTATGCCATTCCCATGTACAAAGCCAGATCACCAACAAGCTATATATCTGAGATGCATAACACTGTTTCCAAGGAAATAGCTTCACAGGTGCATAATTTTACACTATCCAGTTTTTATTAGGGGTAGATACAAAAATTCATTTATACTTTGCATAAAATTATTAACAATATTATCCATTATAATTATCATTGTCTCTTCTATAAAGACCTTTATGTATTGGTACTCAGAACTTACTATGGGAAAGACTAGAAAAACTTTTCTTCTCCATACCAACTAATAATGCTCCATACAAACTAATAATAACTTTCAAGAAAGTGATAAATAGCTCATTATGCTTGTCCCTGTTCTAGCACCAGCCATCAGACAACTTCAGCAGTTTTGTGTCTAATTTCAGCAATTCCTTATGACTTTGGTTCTCTGCACAATTAAGTCTCCCATGTCCTCTCTTGCCTATGATTATCCAGGTTTTTCCTCATTTACTTTTACTTTAGTAGTTTTAAAACTATACTCATTTAACTTCCCAAACAGAGGTATTAAAACATCAAATACTTTTATGTCATCATTACCCTTAGTGCCCAATACAGAGCTCTAAACAAAATAAACACTGATAGATACAAATACATTTTCATATAGATACCACTTATATAAAATTACCCAGAAGACATCTAGATAAAGAAGATTCTTGTATTCAAAGCCTCACAATCTGTTTCTTAAAGAAAATACCAACAAATCCTTCTGATTTTTAACCTATTTTCATGTAAATTATTTTTCCTGTTAATTTTATAGCATACCTGTGTAGGTTCAGGAGCCATACTCTTCCTTTGTTCTGTTGATTTTTCTATTGCTTCACTAAGAGATTTTGCATATTGTACCATAGCTTTCAACTGGGAATCAGTTAAAACCCATAATAAGTCATCCAATATTAGAACTAACTTTGTTGCTATGACATTGCAGTCCTTTAACTGTGGGGGGAAAAAAAGTTTTATAAAATTACGCCAAGATATAAACCTTATAACACACTTGTATTCAAAAACTGTTTTCAAAACCTTTTTGAATAAAACTAAATATGGATTCTTCCTTCATTCAAAAAGTATTTGCTAGCCGAGCACAGTGGCTCACGCCCGTAATCTCAGAACTTTTTGGAGGCTGAGGCAGGTGGATCACCTGACATCAAGAGGTTGAGACCAGCCTGGCCAACACAGTGGAAACCCCGTCTCTATTAAAAATACAAAAGTTAGCCAGGCGTGGTGGTGGACACCTGTGTAATCCCAACTACTTGGGAAGAGGAGGCAGGAAAACTGCTTGAACCCAGGAAGCAGAGGTTGCAGCAAGTGGAGATAGCACCATTGCACTCCAGCCTAGACGAGAAAGTGTCTTTTAAAAAAAAAAAAAAAGTATTTATTGAGTTCCTGTAATATGAATGGAGTCCCTCCTAGTACTTGAGATGCAGTGGTAATGAGAGACAGACAAATCCTTGTACCTTACAAGTTATATAGTACTTATATAATTTAATTTGGCATTTACAGCTGATAAATCATATAATTACTTATATTAATTCAAAGATTCAAAGATTCAATAGAAGAAATGAAATTATAAGACAGTAAATGTTCAACAAATATTGGCAACTGAGAAATATATTCAATTTACCAAAAACAAAAATGTTTAGGCCAGGCATCAAGGCTCACACCTGTAATCCCAGCACTTTGGAAGGTTAAGACAGAAGGACTGCTTGAAGCCAGGAGTTCATGGTCTGCCTACACCACATAGCGAGACTCTGCCTCTACAAAAAATTAAAAACTAGCTAGGCATTGTGGTACATTCCTGTAGTCTCAGTTACTTGGGAGGCTAAGGCAAGAGGATCCCTTGAGCCCAGGAGTTCGAGGCTGCAGTGAGCTAGGATGGTGTCACTGCACTCTAGCCTGGGCAACAGAGCAAGACCATCTTCAAAAATAAAAATAAGGCAGAGGCAGGAGGATCACATGAGTTCAGGAGCTCAAGACCAGTGTGGGTAATATAATGAGACCGCATCTCTACAAATAACTTAAAAAATTATTTAGGCATGGTGGTGCATGCTTGTAGTCCCAGTTACTTGGGAAGCTGAAGTGGGAGAACCACTTGAGTCTGAGAGGTCAAGGCTTCAGTGAGCCTTGGTCATGCCACTGAAATCAATCCTGGTCAATATAGTGAGATCTCATTTCAAAAAAAATAAAATAAGATAAAAATAAAAACAACAAAAAATCCTTTGAAAATCTATTAAACCTAAGACTGAAGAATATTATAATAGTTTTCTACAAATATTATCTAAGTAACTATACCTCCCTTTATTTTACATTATTTTAATATGCCACTGGTAGTATGCCAATATTTCACCTAAGAAATTATTTAAAATTTCCTATAGTTAACTAATAGTTAACATAGGAATCAAAAAATCAAATCCAAAAGTTAATACATGAATCAATAATGTAATCCTGTTGACTCACCCTTCTTTTAAGTGTGACTCTGATTTTTGATTGGTTGGTTATTAATCGAACAGGAGCACACATAATTTCAAGATGTGAACTTTGGGTAGCATCTGCCTCTATTCTTATCATTTGCCAATTTATTTCTTTAAAAGTCAAAACCTAAGGAGAACACAGAGATTAACTTCACCTACTCATGCAAACAGAATGAGAAAAACGTAGATTTTAAAAAACAAAGCGAATGTATCTTCTCAACTAATTTTCACATGACATTCTAGATATATTCACGTTTTTATTTTTGTAAATTGTATGATTCCATCAAATTCAGTTACACATCTTCATATTCATATGTGTAAAGCTGTTAATACTTTTATTCTAAATAATTCAGTTAATGTAAAGCTCAAATGCATTTAAATCATGTGACCAAGAAACAACTAAATAACGATTTTAGTTTGAGGGATTTAAACATGCAATTCTGAGTAGCTGAGAAGTTAAAATAGGGCTTTAAATTGAAATATTTATTACAGTAAAAGCATTAAAATGTGCATATTTTGTAACTGAAAGATTAAGAGTAATATGTAGAGCTAGGTGCAGTGGTTCAGGCCTGTAATCCTAGCACTATGGGAGGCCAAGGTAAGTGGATAGCTTGAGCCCAGGAGTTTGAGACGAGCCTGGGCAACATGGCAAAACCCTGTCTCTACCAAAAATATGAAAATTAGGCAGGCACAGTGGCGCATGACTTTAGTCCCAGCTACTCAAGAAGCTAAGGTGGGAGTATCACCTGAACCCAGGGAGGTCAAGGCTGCAGTGAGCCATGATTGTGCCACTGCACTCCAGCATGGGCAACAGAGTGAAACCCTATCTCCCCTGTACCCCCACAAAAAAAGTAATATAGAGAAAAGCAAAGTTAAAAGGCAAGATTCTGACAACCATGAGATGTGATTATTTTAATTATTCTCCTTTACCTGTCACTAAATAAAGCCTTTGAAAAGGAAAGAAAAAAATTTTTACCTCTCCTCTCTGTGGATCCTGAATGCGAGTAAACCTTAAATCTCCATGTTCCCAGTGTGCATTTACACTATAGATTCGAAGCTGAGAAAGTTCAAATGATGCATTGAAGGCTTTGGCTCCAATTCTGATGACTATAGAATTTACAGAAACAGTAATTCCCTCAACTACTTTTTCAGCAAAGCCGTATTCACTGGAAAAACAAAGCAAAATAAAATACACTAAAGACAAAACTAATTTTTATAAGTTCTACTAATATTTGCACATTGCTGGCTGGGCATGGTGGCTCATGCCTGTAATCCCAGCACTGTGGGAGGCTGAGGCAGGCAGATCACTTGAGGCCAGGAGTAATTTTTTGTAGAGATCGGTCTCAGTACATTGCCCAGGCTGGTCTTGAACTACTGACCTCAGTAATCCTCCTGCTTAAGTCTCTCAAAAGAGCTGGGATTACAAACATGAGCCCCTGTCCCCCACCTGCAAAGATTTGTTTCAGATTTGACTCACCATTACACTCTGAGGTCCTTGAGGCCAAGGTCAAATGGTATTAATTTTTACAACACAGTGTCTACTCCTGCACCTTAGGACATAGTAGGCAAGCAATAAAAAAATGCCAATGTGACATTCATTGAAAGCCTAGGCTGGGCATGGTGGCTCACACCTGTAATCTCAGCACTTTGGGCGGCCGAGGAGGGCAGATAGCTTGAGGCCAGGAGTTCGAGATCAGCCTGGCCAAAACAGCGAAACCCTGTCTCTACCAAAATTATCCAGGTTGGAGTGCAGTGGCATGAGCTCAGCTTACTACAGCCTTGACCTCCCAGGTTCAAGCATTCTCCTGCCTCAGCCTCCCAAATAGTCAAGACTAAAGATGTGCACCGCCCCCAGCTAATTTTTGTATTTTTAGTAAAGATGCAGTTTCACTATGTTGACCAGGCTGATCTTGAACTCCTGACCTCAGGTGATCCGCCCACCTCGGCCTCCCAATGTGCTGGGATTACAGGTGTGGGCCACTGCACCCAGCCTAACTTAACTCTTAAGAGTCATAAAAGTTCCACTGATACACAGAAAATAATATGCATAGAAACAGAGGCTATTTAATTTACAGGATGCCTAAATTCTTTTGTTTCCATTTTCTGCGGCTGCTCTGCCATTAATCATTATTATTTAATAATATCGAGGAATGCAAGATAAATAAAAGAAGTTAAAAGTAAAACCTGCAACTTTGCAATGTATATGATTAAACTGTAAAATAATGGGAGAGCTGACTGAAATAGAGGCCAGTTGAGGTTAACACATTTTTTAAATGTCCTGTTACTATTAATAACAGAGTTGACTATAGGAAAGAACTCCCTTTAGCAGTCATGCTGATTTAGGGAAGTAACTTACCTTTGTCCTGAAGCAGTTGCAATTGGTGATGGACCATTAGGGATTCTTGGTTCTTCACAGGTACTCATTTCCATTATTACTTTATCCAGGGACTAATAACAATGTTAAAATGTAAACAATTAGGTATTTTATTTTATGCATATTATTAAAGTATTATTTAAGATTATTTCCTCTCTTTCATTTTTCTTTAGGAGGAAAGAAAACAGTAAGTGAGCAGAGTCACTTTAAGTGTCTCTCTCTACAGGTCTACAAAGACAAATGCCAAAAAATAACACAAAGCACTCAATCAGTTCTCAAGGCATTCATTTCTGGTGGAAAAGCTGTGTATTATAGGTGTATGGGCAGGTGAAATTAAGATAGAGCCATTAACTACTGAAATCATCAGATTTCATGAAAATGGAATCTCTAATCCCAGATGTATTATCCATTGATAAGATTATACATTAATAAATAGGACTGAACTTCCTCAAAAAGCTTATCCCAATCTAAGATCTGAGATATGAGACACAAAACTATGGGAAATACGAAATAAGCAGGAAATGTAAAAAAAAAAAAAAAAAAAGAAACATTCGAATCATGGAAAAGGTTCTTTCTCAGGGTAATGCTTTTTCCCTTGAAGAAAGATCTAATGTTCTTAATAGTCAACACTTACACAACTCCACTCATTCTTCATTCACTATTTCATATATAGCATTTACTATTATCTGAAACTGTCTTGTTTTATTCATATTCTTGGTAATTATATGTTTGAAATGAATGAAGGACCAAATGTCAGTTTTGTTCAACTTTCCTTGAAAAGCAAAGTATGTTAAAGAACGTATTTCATAATTTACTAGATCAGTAAAAGGATAAACAAAGACAATCTGGATCAAATGTTATTGAAAGAATAATCCCATAGTACATCATCAAAGAGTTAAATGGTGCAATAAAATACTATACCAATTTAGAAGACAGTATTCTGGGCCTGAAAAACTTTAAAGATGCTCCTATTTTAAGGTTAAAACTTCTCATTTAAAGGATAAGAAACCTGAGTCCTATCAAAATAAAATGAAAGCTTTTAATGAAATGGGGAAAAATCCAGACTATATTTCCATGAAACAGAAGATTCTATTATATATATATATATACATGTTTATTTCTGATGTGGTTTCAGAACTCACCAAACAGATGGGATGTGTTTTCAATTTTGTCCATGGGATCTACAAATGAAAATATTTTAATTTAAGACGAATCATTAAGAAGAAAGTAATGTAAACAGTAATCAACACAGGTGTTATCTTAATATAGTGACAAACCAAATTATATAAAATCACTTTTATTAAATTACAAAATAAACTGAGCAACTCACTCGCACTTTTGAAATCAGATGTACCCATTTTATATAAGAAATTATTACTGGTTGTATCTTTTCAGTCATCTTTTGAATAGAAATTTTAAGTTCTTTTTTCTTTTTTTTGAGACAGTCTCCTTCTGTTGTTTCATCACTATACAATTCATTCACGTAAACAAAAACCACTTGTACCTCTAAAGCCATTGAAATAAAAAATTTCTAATAAAAGTGTCAACTCTTTGTAGATATTTAGGTTTACCAAGGATAGAACAAAAATTAAAAGTGACTATCAAAGAATATAGGAACTTTTTCTATAATCGTTTCTTAGGAACCCAAATTTCAGTTCTATGAAGCAAATCAGCATGCAATATTTCAATTAAGCAGACGACTTGGAGAAAACCTCATCTTTAAGACCAAGAGGTGACACAAATTGACATATGATTAAAGATAAGCAGAGGTCGTCCGGGCATGGTGGCTCATGCCTATAATCCCAGCACTTTGGAAGGTGGAGGCGGGTAGATCACCTGGGGTCAGGAGTTTGAGATCAGGCTGACCAACAGGGTGAAACCCCATCTCTACTAAAAATATGAAAATGAGCCAGTTGTGGTGGCATGTGCCTGTAATCCCAGCTACTTGGGAGGCTGGGGCAGGAGAACGGCATGGATCTGGGAGGTAGAGTTTGCAACGAACTAAGATGGCACTACTGTACTCCAGCCTGGGTGACAAAGCAAGACTCCATCTCAAAATAAAAAAAAAGATTAAGTAGAATAACAAGTTATAATAATAGGAATGATACTAATAGTAAACAGAACCCCTTAAAAATCTCAAAATGTAAAAGAAACTAATGAATAAAAGGGATAAAATTCCAAATTTATAATTCTCATGTGGTCATTTGAAAGAGTGTTTTACTCACTTTTTAAAAATTTTTTTGAGACAGGGTCTCACTCTGTCACCCAGGCTGGAGTGCAGTGGCACAATCATGACTCACTACACCCTCACCCTTCCAGACTTAATTGATCATCCTGATTCAGTTTCCCAAGTAGCTGGGACTACAGGAGCATGTGTTACCATGTTGGGCTATTTTTTTTTTTTTTTTTTTAAGTAGAGATGCAGTCTCACTATGTTACCCAGGCTAGTCTCAAACTCCTGGCCTCAAACAATCTGCCCACGCTGGCCTTCCAAAGTGCTGGCATTACAAGTGTGAGCTACCATGCCCAGCGACTCACTACAAGTTTACATAGTCCCAACTGAAAATAAAACTTATGAAAAAACTATCTTTGAACATGTACCAAATGGATGCAATTAACGACAAATTAATAATTTTAAAATTATGAAATCACATTAAAACAAAAATTAAGATCTATAAAGTAGTTAATATATGCCTTTAAATAAAAGGCACACACATTTATGCAAAAGGTATCTTTCTAAATTATATTAATAAAAACATTTTTACAGAATTATCTAAAACTAAGTACTTTAAAAGATAGAGTTGAAATACAGAAAGAAAACATAGAAGGCCTTCCACAAATATCAAGCCACAGATATCAAAGTCTCACCCTAATGGATGCTTTATTACAAAAAACTTTGTTGATAGCAAGCCATGTTGGCAAATCCAACATATTCTGGAGCACTTCTTCATCCAACTCCAAATTCTTCAGTTCACCTTCTCCTTTAAGGGTACTTAGATTTATCTTGTCAGGAGATAAATTTTTGGTAAATCTGAAAGAGAATATACATTGACATTTATATGTGTCAGTTACTGTACTCCAGAGTCATTTTTGCAAATATACGGAGCACTAAAAATGTAATAGCTATGGATGCAACCTAATGTCTATCAACAGACAAATGGATAAAGAAAATGCAGTACATATACACAATGGAGTATTATTCAGCCATAAAAAAAGAATGAGATCCTCTCATTTGCAACAACATGGATGGAACTGGAGGACATTACAGTTAAGTGAAACAAACCAGTCAGAGAAAGACAAACTTTACACGCTCTCGGTCATTTGTGGGAGTTAAAAATTAGAACAACTGAACTCATGGAGATTAAAAGCAGAAAAGTTAGTCACTAGAGTCTGGGAAGGGTAGCGGCGGGGAGCAGGGGTGGGAATGGGTAGTGGGTACAAAAATACAATTAAGTAGAATAAATAAGATATTAATATGGTTTGGTCCTGTGTCCCCAATCAAATCTCATCTCCAACTGTAATCCCTACATGTCAGGGGAAGAATCTGGTGGGAGGTGACTGGATCATGGGGGCAGTTTTTCCCATGCTGTTTTCATGATAGTTAGGGAGTGGGTTCTCAAGAGATCTGATGATTTAAAAGCGTTGGGCAGTTTCTCTCTTTCTCTCTCTCTCCTCTCTCTCTCTCTCTTTCTCTCTCTCTGTCCCTCCCTCCCTCTCAATTAAACCTTTCTTCATAAATTACTCAGTCTTACTCTGTCTCGGATAGGTCTTCATAGCAGTATGAAACCAAAGTAATACAGATATAGTATTCGACAGCACAAGGTGACTACAGTCAACAGTAATTGATCGTACATTTTAAAGTAGTTAAGTGTATAACTGGAAAGTTTGTAACACAAAGAAATGATAAAGCCAGCCAGGCATGGTGGCTCAGGTCTATAATCCCAGAACTTTGGGAGGCCAAGGAGGGCGGATCACTTGAGGCCAGGAGTTTAACACCAACATGGCGAAACTCCATCTCTACTAAAAATACAAAAAATTAGCTTGGTGTGTTGCACATGCCTGTAGTCCCAGTTACTCGGGAGGCTAAGGTTGGAGGACTGCTTCAGTCCAGGAGGTGGAGGTTGCAGTGAGCTGAGATTGTGCCACTGCACTCCAGCCTAGGTGACATAGCAAGACCCTGTCTCAGAAAAAAAGAAAAAAAAAAAGATTGGAAGTAACTAACATAACAGTGAGCATTTTCCAGGGGTTTAGTGTGTTCCAAGCTCTTGGCATACATGCATGACTACTTCATTTAGTTCCCATGATAACCTATTAGGGTCAGTAATAATTTTACCTCGATTTGTGAATGAGTAAATGTAAGGAGAAACTTGAACTTACTTGCCTAATATCACAACAATGATAATAATAAATTACCCATCTACTTTAAAATATGTTCATATACCTTTATTTATTTATTTATTTTGATACAGAGTCTTGCTCTGTCGCCAGGCACCAGACTGGAGTGCAGTGGTGCAAGCTTGGCTCACTGCAACCTCCACCTCCCAGGTTTAAGCAATGCTCCTGCCTCAACCTCCCAAGTAGCTGGGACTACAGGCAAGCGCCACCATACCCAACTAATTTTTTTATTTTTAGTAGAGATGAAGTTTCACCATGTTGGACAGGATGGTCTCGATCTCTTGCCCTTGTGATCCACCCACCTTGGCCTCCCAGAGAGCTGGGATTACAGGAATGAGCCACCAAAGTTTGGCCCAAACCAGAATTTCTTGAGACAGATTCTATTTGGATTCATATCTTCTTACAGGATGTCAACTGAGAAATACAACATTCATTTAACACATGTATTTGACCAATGATGCTGGGCTGTATTATACTTGCTTCTGATCATGCTTGATTCAATACCATGAAGCTTTCTCATAGGCTGCCATTCCTAACCATAGAAAATAAATAAACAAACAAAAACCCTGCCACTTTTCTGAGGCAGAATATCAGAGCCAGAAGGAACATTAAGTAAGTATGTATTGAGAATTCATTATGCAGACACATACACTGGCAAGCAGCACACCCAAGGTCCCTGCCCTTGTGGAGTTTTCAGTTTAGTTGGTGAGACAGATCAAATGGCACAACTAAGAGAGAATACAGTAGGAGTTCTAATCCAGAGCTTCTCTGAAACAGGGACTTTTGAGCTGGTATCTGAAGGATGAGAAAAAGTTAACTAGGCAAGGAAAAAAAGGAGGGTAGAAAGAGAAAGTATTCCAAGCAGAGGAATAAAATGTATAAAGGTTCTAAGACCGAAGGGAAAATGATATAAAATGGAACTGAAAAAATATTAGAAACACTGTAACCTCACTGCCATGTGTGTACCTATGCAACAATCTTGCATGTTCTTCACATGTACACCAAAACCTAAAATGCAATAAAAAAATAAAATAAAGAAATACTGTAACCTATAATATTTATAGGGAAGGAAGGATCGACAACAGACTAATCTGAGTAACTCAAATGGAACATTTGACTATATATCCTTAGTCTTGGGCATGGAGGAATATGGGGATGGAGGTGGTTAGTGGAGAAATCAGGCAACATCTTGATTGGGTATGTACAGGAATGGTCATTTCAAGGATACTTACAAGAAAGAAAAAGTAAAAACAATCTAAATGTCCCAAGAGGAATAACCCGTCTAATTACAATACCCTATTCTAGTAATACATACATATCAAGTAATATATGTTGTCAATCATATAAAGAAATGCTTATAATGTCTGATAAAAATTCAAGACACAAAATTATGTGCTACAATTTCAAGTATGTAAAAAATGCATTACAAAATCCTGTGACTACTTATGGCTGGTGGAATTTTAGATTTTTTCACTTTTGTTTTTGAGATAGTCTCACTCTGTTGTCCAGGGTGGAGTGCAGTGGTCCCACTGCACTAGTTAAAAAAAAGTCAAAGCCTTCTTAGTTTGGAAGAGTAGGACAGCTTTTACACAGAAACGGTGCCCCAAATGAGTAACCGAATCTCTGCAGTGATCATAGCTCACTGAAGCCTCGACCTCCCAGACTCAGGTAATACTCCTGCCTCAGCTTTTCAAGTAACTGGGACCATGGGTGTATACTATCACAACCAGCTAATTTGTTTATTTAATTAAATTATTTTAGACAGGGTCTTACCCTATTGCCCAGGCTAGAGGGCAGTGGTTTGATCTTGGTTCACTGCAACCTCCATTTTCCAAAAGGTTGGGACCACAGGTACATGCCACCATGCCCAGCTAGTTATTTTTTAAAGACAGGGACTCACTATGTTGCCCAGGCTGATATCGAACCCCTGGGCTCAAGCGATCCTCCTGCCTTGCCTCCCAAAGTTCTGGGATTACAGGTGTGAACCACCACAGCCAGCCTAGATTTACTTCTTATTTACACTTTTCTGTATAAGTATTCTATAAGGAGCATGTAGCACTTTTATAAAGACAAAAGTTCAAGAGAAACACAAAAAGACTGGCCTGGCAAGAGCAAAAGTGAAAAATGAGGAGGATTAAAACACATGTAATTTAGCCAGGAGCAGTAGCTCATGCCCATAATCTCAGCAGTTTGAGAGGCCAAGGCGGGAGGATCACTTGAGCCCAAGAGTTTGAGACCAGCCTGGGCTGGTCTATATATTCGTGAATTACCATATTAGTGAGACCCTGTGCCTACAAAAAGTTTAAAAAAGAATTAGCCAAGCATGGTGGAACACTACTGCAGTCCCAGTTACTCAGGGGAGTGAGCTGGGAGGATCCTTGAGCCAGGGAGGTAAGGCTGCAATGACCCATAGTTGTTCTACTGCACCCCAGCCTGGGCAACAGAGCCTTTGTCTCAAAGGCTAAACAAAAAACAAAAATAATAGCTAACAACAGCAATACAACTTCCAAGCAAATGAAAAGAATGGACTTGAGTTAGACTGTACATTTTACAATCAATACACCATTCTCATTCTTGGAGTCTTAGTACACTGTACTAAGCAAACATTAAAGGGCAAAACAAAAAAAGGTCCACATAATCAAAGATTTATAATTTGGTTAAGGAAACAGAGCATAAATGCACAGACAATCAAGACCCTCAGCTTGCTAGGCACCGGAGCTCATTCCTGTAATCCCAGCACTTTGGGAGGTTGAGGTAAGTGAATTGCTTGAGCCCAAGAATTCAAGACCAGCCTGCCTAACATGACAAAACCCCATCTGTATGAAAAATACAAAAATTAGCCAGGCATGGTGGCATGCACCTGTAGTCCTAGCTATCTAGGAGGCTGAGGTGGGAGGATCACCTGAGCCCAGGAGGTCAAGGCTGCAGTGAACCGTGATACTGCCACTACACTCCAGCCTGGATGACAGAGTAAGACCCTGTCACACACAAAGAATCTCATCTCAACAAGGGGTAAAATACGACCTACTGCTTACTATTTAACCCATATCTCAGATTCCTCATCTGTAACATGAAGATAATAATAGTATCTGCCTCACAGAGTTGTTTTAAGGATTAACTGAGTTAGAACATGTAAAATGCTAGTTATGATCCCCAATATGAGAAATAACTCAGCAAGTGCTAGCTATTATTAAGACTAAGATACAGGCCAGGCAGGTTGGCTCAGGCCTCTAATCCCAGCACTCTAGGAGGCCAAGGTGGGAAGATAACTTGAGGCCAAGAGTTTGACACTACTCTGGGCAACATAGTGACACCCTGTCTCAGGGAAAAAAAAAGAAGAAAATAATTCCCATTATACAGTATTTCATGGTATAACATGAAAAACTAGATTTACAGGGAATTTAACAATGCATATTAAATTGTTTAATTAATAAACTTTAAAAGTAGGCACTCTTAAACTACAGGTAACAGATGGACTTCAAGGAGTCCACAATATTTTATCAGACTTTCAAAGGGGGTTTTTGGACACAGAATAGGCTAAGAACCACTGCCTTAGGAAAAATGATTCATTTTAGCCACCCAGAAAATAGTATTTTCAACTGTAATTCTCAAACTGTAATTCAATATTTAATATTG